GGCAGATCTACAAAGTACACTGCTGGCGGGAGCAGTGGGCGAGTCAGGAGAGGAGCAGACTGGGGAGCAGCCCTGTGGATCACCTCCAGGGCTGGGGATCGAACTCGCACTGAAGCGGTTGCAGGAACAGCTTGCAGTGCTGCGCAAACCCGTTGCACCACCAGGCAGGGCCCTATACTAGGATTTTTGATTGCACATAGGGAGTGAGGGGGAGTCAGCTCTCCTAATCCTGTGTTGTCTGAGTGTCAGCTGTAATTATTTCTTCACGTCATACATATAGCATGAATGGCACCTCTAGAATCAAACCGCTAATTAGGGAAGAGAGCACTTTTTGTGCCATGTGCTGTCAGTGGTGCCTAAAGTGTGCCGGGTGAGGCTCGAGGTGGGTCACGCACTGCCCTTCTCCCCCCAGTAGTTAAGGGCAATTAAGGAAGAAGGGATCAACCCGGAGGGACAAGGATCCTTGGGACAAGAAATGACTGCTGGATGGTTAGAGGAGGGAGAGGGATTTTGATTTGTTTGTCTACACCTGAGCCTGACCGTGGGCCTCCTCACACCTGAGGAGAGGGGTGCCCATCTCCTGCCTTTAGAAATGGAGGCTGTGCAGAAGTACAGGCCTCAGAGCAGTCACCGAATTCATTTCTGATGCCCTGCACCTTCCAGTCCAACTTCAAGCCAAGCCCAAGGGTGACAGAGCCTGATTTTAGAAACTCATTCCCTGTCTCTCCAAAGGAGGTATTTCATTCTGAGGTAAAAGTCCATTATGTGGTAAATGCATAACTCTCCACAGACTTCAGAGATGACCACAAGACATTGAGACCATCTAAAGCTTTTACTGGGCCTCCTCCAACTATGGCCCAGGCTCCAAGGAGCTGTGTGTGTCAAGGACAAAAACCCTGCAGAGTGTGTGTGTGTGTGTGCATGTTTGTGTGTGTGTGTAGCCGTAGAAAACACACTCTTTTTCTTGCAGTATTCTCTCCAATCCCTCTTGTTATCTGCTGTGCAGTAGGGGTCTATGTGAATGTGTTGAATACAATATCTAATGGTTAAATGGGAGTGGTGGGTGGTTAAGGAAACTTCCCCCTAAGGAACCCCAAATCCAAGTCTTAGTCTTGATTGCTTCGCTTGGCCTCAGAGAGAAAAGCTGAAATCCTGTGGCTTTCTGGAAAATAATAATTGAATTACTCAAGTCACATTTCAGCCTTCACAGACAATTAAACATCTTCAGAGCAGCTTGGTCCTTTATTCTGAAACTCTTGTGGCTTAAGCACCTTTCTTCCCTATCTAGAAGTCCCTTTTCAGAGTTCCCGCATGTGACAGTAATGAGCACTACAGAAATGCTCAGATGGATGGAGGTGTAGGCACAAAAGCCCTGTGGAGAGGCATAGGAAAAGCCCCCTCCTTTCTAATTTTTATAGTGATAGAATGCGAGCCTAGCTTTCAGTGAATGCATGGGATGGAGCTATTGAGACCACTTAGGGGAGATTGATGGGGGGTCACATCTGTGCTGGAAATGGGTTGAGGAGGTTATTCTTTGCTACTTAAAAATGATTTTCAGAAACCAGCACCTTTTCCTTTCATGTCAGCTTGAAATTGGGCATCCTTTAACACAGAGAGCTCTTCAATTAAAACTTAGGTGTGAAATGGCTGAAGGAATCAGTACCTTAGCTAAAAACTGGTCCTCAAAAACAGTAAAGCTTTATTAATTTGGGATTTATAATATATATTCTAATAGTAGGGTTAAATAGAACTGAGCCTTTCTAAAACAGATGGTAGCAAAAATGAACACTGTGCATTCAAGATACATTATGCAATAATAATACTATTTATAACTTTAAACGTGTGCAAATAGATATGTAGCATTCCTATGCACTCATTACGATATAGTCTTGATTGTCTAAATTTTTAGAATTAGTGTATATATATATATTATTTATTTATTGCATAATAAATAAAACAATTTATAAAATGGTTAAAAAAAAAACTTAGGTGTGAAAAAGCACAAATTGCAAAGTGAAGGTACCTGGGACTAGACCATGCTGTCTGGAATGGGGGTTCGGGCAGTGACAGGACTCAGGAATGCAGGGCCAAACTCTTGGCTTGGGTCTGAGAAAGATCTAGTTCCACACTGGATTAATCTTTGAAAAAGCAGATATTTGTGCCTGGAGGCTGTTCCAGCTATGACTGTGAAGCCCCATTCCTCTCTCTTGTCCTAGACCCAGCTGTGGTTGCTATGGGGACAGGAAAGATGCCATGAACAGTGAGGCCAGTTTACTTGTAGTATAAATGGGACTTTTCCTGTGCAGTTTTTCGAACAACATGAGCTTTTCTGACTGCAACTTACCCTGAACCCAGATTTGTGGGACTCTAGCAAATCTATGGAAGAGCAGGTGTCTTGAAGAAGCCTTCCCCAAATAGACTTTTCTTAGTAGAAATTCAGAGACTCGGAATCTTGTCATTCATCCAACAGTCAAACAAATCCAAAATTCAAATAGCAGACATACCAAAAGCAAACAAACAAAAAGGCTAGAGGCAGTATCGCTCCCCATCTAAGTTAATACATATTCAGAGCTCTCTTAAGTTTCCTGATCCAGACCTTGCAAAGCCCAGTCATTCTAAAAATCCATGCTAAAAGTCCACCCATCCAGCCAATACTAATGGACTCTGGCTGGGGGTGTGGGGTGGAGATTGAGCCAGCAAATCCTAGCAGGGCCCGGTACAGAGTGAAAGTGCAGGATCCCATAGTCAGAAAGTCTCCCTGCCTCCAGTCTTGAAGGTCCCTGCTGTGGTGGGGCTTCTCTCATTTGCTGTTGACTGTCACACACCTGAGATGTGAGATACACAGAGTGGAGACCCTCTCAGCAGAGGGGGCACCCAGGGCACAGGCCCAGCCCCAGCCTTCCCTGAACACAAGCTCAGCCAGCAGGTAGAAGGTGGCAGCAGTCAGCGGGAGGGGGTGCGGGGGAGGCGCGAGGGAGGGACTAAGGAGGGAGCAGGTGGAAATCTGTCCTGGGAGGCCGGGCCACATTGGAACCAGGGCTCCAAGTCCCCAGGACACACTCCATCCTCCCCAGACTTTATTTGCAATATATAAATGCAGGCAAAACTTCGATTATTTTATCTTTGTGCTCCCAAGTGCAAAGCCCTCTCCGGAGCATGGGCCCTGTCAGCTGCACTGGTGGCAGCCAGCCCTGCACATGCTGTGATATGAGCGTGACCCTGTCCACACACAACCCGAGCGGGTTTGTCATTCTCAAGGAGGAAAATGTCGAGGGCGGAGAAAACATCCTGAAAAAGAGTTTGCTCAGGGCCCAGTTGTCAGCATAATTTGTAGTGCCTTATAATGCCACACTGGGGGACAGAAGAAGGAGCCCTTGGGCAGGCAGCTGGCACACTAAGAAGACTTTGGGAAGGGGAGCTTGAGTCTGGCCATGGCCACTCAACCACCCCGACACCCTTGAAAAGGCCACGGGACAGAGGCACTCAGTCACAGCCTGAGGCCCTCTGATTGGCTTGTCATCTCTCTGGTCAGCCATAGCTTCAAGACACAGGCCTGCCAGAATCCCCTCCTCTGTCTTTGGCTCTTTCTCGCTCTTTCCAGTGCCTCTTCCATCACCGCCCCCTCCAGAGGGTGTGTTTCCACGCACCTCGTCCCAAAATTTGATGCAGACATTTTATTCTTGCCCCAAGAATAGTAGCTCGATGTTTTTAGGATCAGGGATTCTTTTTTTTTTAAATAACACAATAGTTTATTTTTACATCATTTTATGCCTTTTCCCCTCTCAGTTGTACTCCCCATGGGCTTCCCATTACCAGATCACCTGTGTGCCATCGCCATAATCCAGTGCACTCCCCTCCCCACACTGTTTTTGATCCCATTCCACCCCATAAAATATCTCTGGTATATAGCTGTTCATTATTATTATTATTTTCTTGCCAGGATCAGGGGTTCTTTTAAGGGTCTGCTGACAGTGACGGATTCTTTCCCCAGAAAATATTCACATCACATGGAGGTTGGGGACCCAGTACCATCTGTGCCCCAGTCACCTCTGGGGCTTGGTTAAAAAAAAAACGAAAAACAGGGCCCTCCCTGGTGGCGCAGCGGGTTAAAGCACAGCACTAAGAAGCTTAAGCCAATTCCGCATGAGTTTGATCCCCGCCTGTCCCGGAGGTGACCACATGGCGTGGCAGACCTCTCCTGACCCGCCCGATGCTCCCCTCAGCAGTGTACTTTGTCGATCTGCCTGTTCTGCTCCCCACTCTGTCTCTGGTGAATCCTATCATCCTCCACATCTCTGGCCTGTACCCCAGTTCTGTATGAATAAATAAATAAATCTTTAAAAAAATAACAGGTTCCTGAGTCTCTCAATCTAAACCAAATTAGATAGATCTCTAAATGGAACCCAGGTGGCTGCATTTTAACAAGCACGCCCAGTGATTCAGTACACTCAAATGACTGAAAACTATAGCCGTTGGGTATAGCAGAGCTTTGGCAAGAATCCCTAGTCTAGACACTTCATAGGGTGACATCCTTGGCCACAGCTAATGTGTCCTAAATACATAGCTCTAACCAGTATTTTCTCTTCAGTAGCCCCCTACTTGGAAATTTGGAAATAGTTGTGGGTCTGTCCTGGAAACTTTTGAAACCTTCAACTTGCAATTGATTCCTACTTGTATAATCTTTTTTCCTACCAGTGTGCACATCCAAAATTGACACCATCTGTAGTCAAGCATGTTGATTGATTTCATTGGAGCTCTGTCACCCCTTATGAGAGGGAGAGAGCGGGAGCATGAACAGGAACATTCCATCTGGTGTTAAAACCATGTAACCACAGGCTACACTGACCCTAGGAAACCTGTTGCCATTTTTCAGTAAATCATTTCTGCCCAATGAAGAACTATGTATTAAGAGCATACATACTAACACAGGTTCTTCCAGAAACGTCAGTGTCTATTTCCAACAGCACCCTAAGTTCCCAACTACCTGAGAGGTCTCCTTTTTTCACCTCCTCCCAAGTCACACGTGAAGCCCGTAGATCCATGGAGACCTGCTCCTTCTGATGAAAAGCTCTCTTGAATTTCTAGCATTCTCTACAGCACCTGTAGCAACTCTGCAGTCACCCACTACATTTGCGATAGCCTTGTCTCTCATTTTAACTACAAAGACTCTGGATATTTTCTCCCCACCTCCGCTTCTCTTTCTCTCATCTTACTCCATAGTCCTTCCCAACTTCCATTTACAGAGAGGCTTTCCAACTCACACTGATGTCCCAGCCTCATCCCCCTGCTTAAAACTCTCCTTCCCTCCTGCATCCCGCTGCCTTGCAGATACCGCCGACACCTCAGTATTTGGCTTCCGCCTGCTTCTGTCCCATAGTTACCCTGCCCAGTACCTTCCCAGCCTCATCTCCACACACGCCAGCTTGACCACTCTTCTGTCATCACGCAAGTTTCCAGCTGCACCTGTTTTTACCCCTGCAACTGCCTTGGGCACATTTCTCCTTCAGCATCACATGCCAGGACTCACCCTCTCAGACTTCCTAGTCCCCAGAGATGGGCCTTCGCTCTGTGCTCCCTCATCATGCATTGTGGCTTCAGAGGGTCTACTGTTCCCAGCTAGGTCATGAACACAACAGACCCAGAGGCCAAGATTTCTGCTTCTTGGTAGATGTTGATGCATACAGTAAGGGAATAGTAAATGATGGTTTGCTACAGGATTGGGTTTCTGGGAAGACCTTTCCACTCTTATGTCTAACCATTGTATGTGGTCTGGAGGAATAAAGGGACCTCGGCTGCTCATATTACAAACTCATTGGCTTATCTGGGTGTATAAGTAGAATAATCAAGGCTGAGACTCTCCTACTTGTGGAAGCAGAGTTCTTGTTAGGTTGGGTGTCAATGATTTATGTGGATGCCGTATGCCCTGGTGTAGTTATATACTAAAGAAGTATTTGCTATCTCATCTGGGCCCTCAGTTTTTCTCAGGCTATTTTGTGCAACAGACTGGAAACCTGGGGAACAGCCTCTGCCTTATTTTCCCCTGCAGCCTAGAGGAGACAAGCAAGTAGGATGGAACCCCAGGACTGTGCTCACACAGCCCCAGCTTGCTGAGACATACCCTATGTCAGGGCTGGGCCAGTGCCTGCTTGCTTCATCACCACACCTTATTTTTGCTTGAGAAATGACTGATGGGTGAATCTATAGTCAAGCCAGCTCAGAAATTATCCATTGAAGCAGAAATGATTGTAACTGATAATGGGTTTTAAAAGATTTGAGGGGCAAATATACCGAATTTGGGAGAAAAAAAAAAAAAGACATGGATTGGCACTGTAGGGCCACTAAGTGATTCGTTTATTTTAAGGGACAAAGATAGTCTTTGTTTTTGTTTTTGTTTTTTTGTGGGTGGGGGGTTGGGGTTATGGTACAGGCTTTGCTTTCTTTCAACGTTGGTGTATCATCTAAATTTCTGTTTCTGTTGTAGGACCGCCTGGGCCACCAGGTAAGAGCCCATGGGCCTTCCTATTTCGTGGGGAGGATATGGGTGGCGGGTTCCCCAGAACCCTTCAGAAAAGCCTGAGGAGGGGAGAGTCAGGAGGCAGCCCTGACCGTGATCACAACCCCTGCTTTCTTTCTACTTTAATCACCAGCCCTCTGGTCACTCCACTTAGTAACCTGCTATCACAGGTCCTCACCTGTCAGTGCAGCTAAGAGAGAGAAGGGAAGAAGCAGGAGCGAATCTGGGGAAGACCCTACATCTTTGGCTAGAAGAAATCTCATTAACTTCAGTGGGCATAATTTTCATTATTTCTGTTTTTCCATGTTTTGATGCAGGGCCTCCGGGAGTCAGTGGGTTACCAGGATTCAATGGCTCAGATGGATTGCCTGGGCCCCAGGGCCCAAAGGGTGAAAAAGGAGCCAATGGAAAAAGAGGAAAAATGGGTATTTGGGCAGTTTTTCTACTTTATTTCTTTGCCACATTTCTCCATGGTTGTGTTTTGAAAGAACAAAGGCTGTGGGCACTGGGCTCAAGTGTTGCATCCCTGCTTGCAAGGCTAATTTAACTCATGCCTGGAAGCCCCTGGTGTTCGGGGCACTCTGTTGTGGGTCCAGCTCTGATAAAGGCTTAGCCCCAAATGGGACAGCACTTTCCCTGAGAAGTTATCACCAACCTCCTGCTTGCTCCTGTGCAGCCTCAAAGGTGGAAGGACAGGAGCTGTGCGGTGTGTGCTCCCCAGGATTGTTGGAAGGTTGCCTCCTGCCTTTCCCTCTCACCACCTGGCAAATTCTGTGTGTGTGTGTGTGTTTAAGATTTATGTATTTGTACATACATAACTGGGATACAGGTCAGAGGCACAGGTACAGTGAGAGGATTCACCAGAAACAGAGTGGGGAGCAGAATAGGCAGAACTGCCGAAGAACACTGCCGAGGGGAGCAGTGGGAGGGTCAGGAGAGGTCTGCCGTGCCATGTGGACCAGCTCCAGGGTGTGGTTCAAACTCATGCTGAAGTGGCTTTAGCTTCTTAGTGCTGTGCATTAACCCACTACACCACTAGGGAGGGCCCCAAATCCTGTGTTTTACCAAGAGTCAGTTGGTGGTGTCAGCCCCTTGGTTCTCTGGCTAGAGGAAGAGCTAGAACATTTTGAGAACAGCAGCACCTGGCCTCCCTGCAGCCTGCATTCAGGCCGTGTGGCCCCAGCTGTCAGGCTTTGCTGTCCAGACTCTTCACAGAGACATGGCTGGCGTCTCTGAGGGGCCTGCCCTGCCCTGCCATGAGTGGCAGCACTGCCATCTCTGGAGCAGATGCCCCAAAGTACCCAGGCAGGGTACTCAGGCAGGGTCTGTGGGGCTCTGAGTACCAGTTCAGGGGACCTATGGAGAAGGCCTATGCAGATTCACTGAGGGAAGAACACAGGGCGAGCCGGAGCACGGGTGCTCAGCAGGCTTCTAGGAAGGCCGGGCTCTTAGCCACCAGTCAGGGCCACTGTGGCGGGCAGAGGTGCTGCTTCATCCCCGGGCTCTGCTACCCCAGTTCATACAGACAGGCCCTGCGTCAGCAGAACTGCTAGAAAATGCTGCCAGGTGGTACACTTAGTCCCTTAAGCAATTTAAGTGAGAGCCATTGGAGATGGAGAGGATTGTTAAGAGATGCTGCCATTTGGGACAACCTCTGTGAACACAGGCACACGTGAGCCAAGCCGGCTCAGGCCACAGAAGGCCGCAATTAGGGCCAGAATTAAGGAAGGGAAACATGTCAGATAATCATGAGAACTATAGATGAATAATGTCAGTGCTGAATAATAATCACTGTCATGTGCAGATATTTGGCTTATCCCATGAAGACCCCCAAAATGTGACCCAGTCCTGACGAAACAGCAGAGTATATTAGGAAGGTCCCCTTCGGGGAGAAGCCACTGTGCTAGCCCTGGGCAAGGGGCAGGTGAGGGCAGGGTGATTTTCAGGCATGTTCAGAACAGATCCCCAGCTTTGTAGATGTGTTTAGCGTGCAGCAAGAGCGGGAAAGAAAGGTTGCTCTGCTTATGTAGCACATAGTCACGGGGCAGGTCCTGTTCTACAAATGACAAAGCTGACAAAATCGCTGCTGTCATGAAGCTTACTTTCTAGTCTGAGCAGGTGAACAATAAAAAAGATAACTAAGTAGAATATATCATTGCCATATGGTGCTGAGCTTTAAGTTAAAAAACAGCAAGGGGGGCCCTCCCTGGTGGCGCAGCGGGTTAAAGCACTGCACTGAGAAGCTAAAGCCACTTCCGCACGAGTTCGATTCCCGCCTGCCCCGGAGGAGATCCACATGGCGCGGCAGACCTCTCCTGACCCGCCCGCTGCTCCCCTCAGCAGTGTACTTCGTTGATCTGCCTGTTCTGCTCCCCACTCTGTCTCTGGTGAAGCCTCTCACCGCCCCTGCGCCTCTGGCCTGTACCCCAGTTCTGTATGTACAAATAAATAAATCTTAAAAAAAAAAAAAACCAGCAAGGGGAGTGTTTGCAGGGCCTGTATGAGGCTGGGAGGCCAGATAAGACCGTGGGACAGACCTCCGAATAAGCCCCTCTCGGGAGCCAGGGAAGGCGTCTCCGGCTGTGTGCGGGCATGGGAGTGAGTCCTGTGTGCCTACAGAGTCTGAGGAGCAGCATGGAGGCCAGGGCAGTAGACAGGAGTTGCAGGGGGCACATGGCTAAGTAGAGACTGGAGAGTTCCAGGCAAAATCAGGCCACTCTGGGCATTTGAAGAGCTCTGTTTTGCACTCAGGCCCATGCTCCCACTGGGCGAGGGAACCGCCTTGGCAGCTGGGCTGAGGGAGGCTGCAGGCAGGAAGGGTGGATTTTGCAACATGAGACAGCAGCAGACAGTGAGACAGCGCTGGCTTCTGTTTATCCGTGGGGCCCACCAAATCCATAGGAACTGCAGCAAAGATGCAGGCTTCCCCCCAGCACCCCCAGCCCAGCAGTCTCCCAGTAGGGGAAGGGGGTACCTCTAGAGACCAGCAATCTTAGAACCAAGACTCTGCCAAGGTTGAGGATAGAATTTGAGTCACCCGGGGCACCACGCCAAGAGTTCTTGCCCCGTGCCAGGGGGAGGGGAGACTACCCGCCTTCCTGGATGCAGAAAGACAAAGGCTGTTTGAAGAGCCTGACTCTATGGAAGGAGATTGTTAGAAGCTTTCCTCAGCCCTAAGCCATCTCAGACTGGTCGGATTCTAGCGCTAGGGCAGTGCCCGCCCGGGTTACCTTGCTGAAGGCCCCCTGTGGCTGAGCGTGCCCCCCCTCACTCCCCTCCCTCCCCCCTCCCCTTCCTGAGCCCTTGGCTGGTTCCCAGCCTACCCAGCACTCAGTGCAGGGAGGAGCAGGCATCAAAGTGGCAGCGCCACAGAGGGGAAGTGGTTTTATTCTGAGAATCCACTGAGGGGCTTTAAGTAGGAGAGAGAGAGCTATGAGAAGTTGTGCCTTTCTAGAATAACAGTGCAGCTGCTGCTTGAGCACAATGGAAGGAGCAGGGAGTCGGGGCAGGGAGACAGCTGAGAGTCTATTCCCAGTGCAAGTGGAAGGGCCGACAACGAGGGTATGGAAGGACTGATGGAGTAGAGTGGTATTTCGGGGGGCAAAATCAGTAGTACCAGGTGGTGGGAGCATAGAAGGAAGAAGTGGGAGGGAGACCCCAGGATCAACTCCAAGGTCTCTGTTCTCTGATTGCTCTTTGCTGAGGAGAGGAACCTGGACCCAGCTCAGCTTCAGAGTGAATGTCATGAGCTCAGCAAGAGCTTTGTTGAATTTGAGAGGCTGTAAGACTTGCAGGTGATATCAGTGGGACTTGATGAGGGGCTGCAGCCAGAGATGTCCATCAGAGGGCCACGTGAGGCCACGGGGCGAGTGCCGTCACTTAGGGAGATAACAGAGGCCACGTGATCCAGCCCCAAGAACAACAACCTCTAGTGACAGCTAGAAGGTGATGAGCTGGCAGAGGAGCCTGATGACCAGACACAGGAGAGGGTGGGAATGCTCATCAGCAAGTACTTCTTGAGCTGATTCCAAGTGCTTGCGGGGAAGCAAAAAATAGCATGCAGTCACTGTTCTAGAACTTTCCCTCTTTGGCGGGGAGGCAAACATTAAGCGTCAATAATCAAAAACATTTGCAATCAAGTTGTGAGATACAGCCGTGAAGGTGAGAATAGGGTGTTCCGGGGTGCAGAACAGAGGGCAGTGGGCAGGAGGTAATGTCTGCGGTCAGACCTGAAGGGTGAGGGCTGGAGAGACAGCCCCAGAGGGCTGACTGGGTGGGGTGAGGACCACCTGGGCCCCAAGGTCAGGGCCTTCAGATGAGTAGTCAGGCCTCTTGTCATCTCCCAGGAAGGCCCTGCAGGTCTCACACAGGATGAGGCTACCGGAAAGGAGGGGCGAGGGTAACTGTGGTGTGCCAGACAGGGGTGGGACAGGGAGCAGTGGAGTGCAGCCCAGAAAGAGGGAACCACAAGTGCTGTAGCCAAGAACAGGAAAAAAGGTCTGTGGACCACAGAGACAGGACTTGGTCAGGCTTTACCGTGCCCGTGAGCGGCAAGCCCCGCCTCCCCTCCCCCCCTACCACCCCCCAACACCACCACCAGCAGTGAATAGCCACATTTATTACCACCCTACCAGAGGCTCACTATATCACCTTCTTTTACAATCCGCTTTCTTTTTCCTTTTTATTTATTTTTTTTAAGTGAGGTGACATCACTGTGTGTTTAGGAGTGCCAGTTGACATTTCTTCATATGTGAATCACCACACTATGCCCACCACCGTAGTATGATTAATTGGGCCTCCTTCCTACTCTGCTGCCCCCCTCCCTCCCCTCTGGTAACCTCAGTCTGGTAACTGAGTTCTGCCGTCAGAATGCAAGGGTTCATTTGGGGGATTGGTTCAGCCTCTACCTTTACTTTGTTTTTTTCTGTTCCATTTATGGGAGAAATCATTTGATGTTTATCCATCTCCTTTGACTTCACTTAGCATAGATTCCTCAAATCAGTGTTTTGCATGCTTCATGTAGAAATCTCAGGGAGGGATTGCTAGATCCTATGATGATCTATTTTTAAGGACTTCAGAAACCTCTATGCTGTTTACAGTACAGACTGGAGCAGATTACATTCCCACCAATAGCGTACAAAGGTTCCTTTTCTTCACACTCACACTAACACTTCTTGTTTTTGGTCTTTTTGCTGTGGCCATTCTCACAGGTGTGAGGTGGCAGCTCACTTTTGATTTGCATTTCCCTGGTGATAAGCGATGATGAGCATCTTTTCTGGTGCTTGCTGTCTGTCTTCTGTGGAGAAGCTCCTATTCAGCTCTTCTACCCATTTTTTTTCTATTAAGTTATTTTCTTTTTGTTGCGTTATGTGAATTTTTTGGTAGATCTTGAACATCCACCTCTTGTTGGATGTATGATATGCAG